TTTTTCTCAAATTCCTTCGCCATTTTCACACGTGTTAGTTATCTTGTAAGGACTTTTGGGTTCCCATGAAATTGTATTTTGGGTTAAGCACTTATTCTTAATTTTGTTTTACATAATTACTATTCAGTTCGAAAATAGAGTTAGACATATGCAATAATATGATGAAGGATAATGTTTTAGAGCAACCAACCAAGATTATATTGTGCAAAGGCCTCTTTATGCATGTAGAAAGACACAATTTTCGTCTTGACTAAGTTAAGTATGAGAAATGTTTGACCAATAAATTCTTCATATTATTTGTTTGGAGGAATTGAGAATTTTCTTGTAGTTATACTATAGAACTGTGCCTAATGTTCAACAAATTATGTACAATGTGCTACTTTAGTAGCCAACTATTTGATTTGGACTCCCATGAAAGGAGAAAATGAGCACTAAAGAGTAACTTCTAGAAAAAAATATATACGGGGATAGATAATCAAATTATTTGAAGGAATGAAATGTCAATACTAAAGTTTAATGACAAGCGATTGAGGGTTAAATGAAAATGATGTGTACTCAATTTAGCAATATAAAAAATTAGATAGCATTAAAATATCCTTAAGGCCCCGTTTGGCAAAGGGTTAAGGAAGAGGGGTTAAAAACAATGATTAATGTACTTAGCACATTCGATTATCTGATGGACTAAATTATTAACCCGTTAAATAAGTTTTATTTTAGTCATTATGATCAGTTTTAGTGTTTGGGAATAACAATGGTTTTGACTATTTTCTTTATAATTAGAATGGTTAACTTTTAATCCTTCTAAATAGGAGTATTAGTAAGCCCTTTATTTTGAGAGGTTAACTCATTTTAATCCCTCTAGAGATATTAGCTTAACTCTTTTATATTTTTTATGTTTAGCAAATTGTAGAGGATTAACTCACTTTAACCATTGTATAGATTTTTTATGTTTGGCGGGTTAAGAAGGGGTTAAATCTCCTTAACCTCTCACTTAACCCTTTGTCAAGCAGTACCTAAATTTATAATTTAAAGCAAACCACTACATCGAAACTGCAGAGTTTGGACCATAAGGATCGATATTCAAATTCTTTGGTAGTCATTTTCTTTATAGAAAACTTGTACTGATACTATATTAGAGTGGATTGCTAAAGCTTTGATGTTCAGAAATAACCCTAAAACTGATTGTTTAAATTATAAATTTAACATTAAAAACTAACTTAATAGCATATATTGATCTATAACTATATATATCTTGCATCAGGTATGTCATACTAGTCAAAAATAAAAGATAAATTTTTAAAAGGACCCGATTTCACGAGGGAGAAGAAAGCAGCCCCCAAAACTAACGCTCTTTAGATACAACATATCTTTCTCGGCATGAAATGGGACACCCATGGGCTGTCGCCATTTCGTACGGCAGAGGAACCGGAGCCGCCGGTCACAAAATCTTATCTAGTAAGATATTTGCCCTTATCATTTATACCCGGTCACGACGCGATATCGTTATATGCATTAATCCACCACCTAATTTGTTGACCGCACTTAAGTTTTCTACTGATCACCCATACCCCAGTAATTATGCTGGCCGTGGACCGTCCCTATCCACCTTAGACACGAGTGACGTTTAAAAACAATTTGGAAATTTTTTTACCCTTTATCTTGACAGTACTATATAGAGACTAAATACAGCATTGGTAAACTTCATTGATAAAAATAGAATTAATAAGCTAACAGAATGTTTAAGAAAATAAGTTGTGAAATAGAAGCTTGTGAGTGTTCCTATAAGTCACGTTGGTGCAGGATGAGGGGCTCGCAAGTTAAGCGCTTGGCAATTCATTTTCTAAAAGTTCGACTGTTAATTAGCATATGATCACTACCATCAAATTCATTTAAATTTAATTGTTATAATATCTCCTTCATGGATAGCACTAGTTATTTACTTAATAAAACATATTTATTATTCGTTAAATGATAAATGGTTAAATTATGTTCTTTTGTTAACTAAGTATATAACAATAAAAGCTTGGGTTTTATGCATAACCTAACGATTATAAAAAGTTATACATTTATTCTCAACTAGTTTTTACACACGTGAAATGCACGTGATTTAATACCATGATTAAGTATTTTTGGCAGTTTGTGCTCATTTTTTTCTTTAAACTCTTACATCCCGATTATTTTTTTATGTTTGTTTAAATGGGATACACCCAATTTAAATTTTCATGTTGATATTTGAATTGACAAAAAACAAATATAATTTAAAAATAATTTGAATTTTCATATTATTTTTGACCGATATGAAACTAAGCTTTATTTGAGAAAGTATAGCATTGCAAAGTGAAAAATATTAAAATAGTGTTATACAAGGAAGATGAATATTTAAAACCAATATGGCAAAATGATTGATTTAAAGTATGTTAAAACAATGCAAAAGAGAATATGAAGTTTATTCCTAATCATTGATAGACTTCATAAAAAAAATATAAATTAAAGATTAATGCTAACTCTAGTATACTTTTATATGATAAAAACATCCACATAAGAATATAAAAGTACTAAAAAAAATTCATGAAACTCCCTTCTAAATATTCCTAATTTCACTCAAAATAATTAAACTATTCTATAAAATATTCATAAAATATTGTTTTTATTTCTTCTATTTTATTTTTTATTGAGTTAAGATCAATCCTTCTTCAGGTTTATCATTTATCATTTCTCGGACAATTCTAGAGTATTGTCTTCATCATCTACATCAATTGTGACATCAGGCTAATTTTATATTTTTTATGCTATTATCTTTTCTAGGCTCGTTAATTTTTTTTACCTTTGCTCTATCCTTATCATTTTTCATAAAGATCTAAAATAAATACCTGCATTATTCATTACTAATTTCTCTTAGATTATAATATTAATATTTAATTTGAAGAACACAGTATGGAATTTATGAATACTTACTAATTTTTCTTATGTCTTCCATGGAGATTTTTTCTTTGATTAGGATAAAGTTATTAAATTATTTTTTAATGTAACTCATTCAGTGCTTCATTAATAGATATGTCTTATGTTAATGCCAATTCAAGTGATTCATTGACGTTTTCTGAATTTTAGATTTATTTCCATCACTTTCCCATTTGCAATGGAAATAACTCAATTCTTTTAAAGTTATCTCTAAATATTCTAATAGTTTCTCCATATGTAATTCCTTGTATTCTTTTACCCTATAAATATTATTAACGTCAAAGATTAAAGTTTCTAAATTAAAATCAATTAATGCTAAGGTATAATATTATAGTGTTTTATCATTTCTATGGATTTAAACATCTATCAATTAATGTTACGAATGTATTTTGGCTACCCCAACTTATTACTAAAATTATATGAAATTACTTTAATTTATATAGTGCCGATAATTTTTAATCTATAATATTTTTAAAAATTTTATCCATTAACCGGATGTTTTTAATCAATTCTTATTGTTTTTGTTTACCAGTATCAACTTAGACTATTCTTAGATGCTGAAAATGGATAGTAAATCCCTAAATTAGAAATTTTAATATATATATATATATGAAAAATACCAAACAATTACACTTTTCTTTGCCAAGTTTTAAAATTTTAGCCCATTTTTGTGGTTTTGAACTTTGAGGGTGGGATTTATAATTTTTAAAATTTTGAAAGAGTTTTTAAAAAAAATTTACTTTTAAGTTTGGTAGTTGTAAATTCTATGTTTCATGTGTTGGTGGTAATTTTTTAAATGTTAGTATATTTCTTATAACTCTAAAATTTTGAGGGTTTCTTTTGCAATTATTAAAACTATAGATTAATTTTGAAAAATATTAAATTTCAGCGGTCTACCAATCAACGAATTTGATGTGTGCTAGTTAAAAATTTAGAGTTTTTTTTTACGATTTTTAAATTTTAAAGGAGTTTTTTAACATTTTTGAGGTTAATTTTGACAAATTTTAATTTTTTAGGTGTCTAAGGGTAATATCTTGAATTCATCTTATTTTATTTACAAATTTTAGAATTTTAGGGTGGCTTTTTATAATTTGAACTTTTAAAGGTGTTTTTATAATATTTGAGATATTGAGGGTGTTAATTAAAAAATTTAAATTTAAATATCAAAAATTTTAGGTGTATCATGGTAATCTCTTGAATTCATCTGTGTTGTTTGTAAGTTTTAAAATTTTAGAATTTTAATGTGCTTATCTGTAATTTAAACTTTTGAGGGTGTTTCTATAATTTTTGAGACATAGAGGTGTTAACTGTAAATTTTAAATTCTTTGCAAACTGATGTTAATTTTTTAATTTCATGTTTTTTATTTTATGTTTTGAAACATTTGGATGAGTTTTATAATTTTGAACTTTTTAGGGTTTTTTCTGCAATTTTAAAACTTTTTATGGTTTTTTTGCAATACTTCATGTATTATAATATGTTATGTACTTGTATTTTCTTTATCTTAACAAACTAATATCATTTTTATGTTTTATATATTTTATTAATATTAGTTTTTTAAATTGTTAAGCTAAACATGGTTCACATAGGATTAGGATAAGATATGATTATGATTAGCTAAACATGGTTCACATAGGATTAGGATAAGATATGATTATGATTAGGATAGATTAAGATATAAATAAAGTATTCAAAATAGTGAATGGTAATATTGACCATTGAAAATTAGAATTTAATTATAGATAAGGTAGTTCAAACTATAAATGGGTATATTTGTCTAAAAAAGATTTTCCGAACTCGTGCTTTTAAAGGGAGTATGATCAGAACTATGCTTAATTTTTATACGAAATCCAACTTGTTAATCTGTTTGGTGCCATGACTTGTTTTTCTTTCACAGGAGTCAATAATTATATATTATCCCTATCCACATTTCAAATCAAAATAAAAAAAAAATCAAAATTCTTGATAAAAGTATTATTTCTACAGGCTATAAAAGGACCAGCATTCCAGCTCCAATTCATCACCGAGTGTAATTTGAAGCTCATACTCTACTCAAGTATTTAAATTAATGGAGTCTATCGTTGACATGATCCCCGTCTCTGAGAAATCCAACGCAACAATTCTGGGCGTCGGCACTGCTAATCCCCCTACATTTGTGGATCAAAACACCCTCCCTGATTACTACTTCAGGATCACAAAAAGCGAGCACTTGGTTGACCTCAAGCCAAAATTTGCTAGAATGTGTAAGTGCTCATGAACTATATATAGATATGCACATATTTGCATATATCATATTGTGTACCAGTATTCTATAAATTAAGAAGGAGCTGGTGAGGATCTAAACTATACATGCGAATTTGGAAACATAATGAATAAGCTGATATATATATATAGAAAGTAGCTAGAATTAGTTGACCTTTTGTTTTATGCCCAAATTGTTCCTAAACTCTTTTACATCCTTACTTAGAATAAATATTTGATCAAATAAAAATTTGTAAATTTAGATCAATCTTAGCATATACCGATGCATACACATGACTAATAAATTTAAGTAGGTTTTGTATAATTAGCACTGAGTATCCAAATAAATTATACATTCAGATTCTATTTGCTGCTTTTTAGTATGGAATAAATCATTACTTTTATCGCAGATGTTGTTTTGTTTAGTGGATAGTTTGCGAACTTGTAGTTCGTCTTTTGAGTGTAAGTTAAGTATGAGATGAATTCATAAAGTTACAATGAGTGTTAGATATAGAATGAATCATAGTCACTCATTAAAAAAATCAATAGCTATGATCAAAAGTATAGCAATTTGTCTACTATCTTTTTGCTACTAGAGAGGATGCAAATCCTTTAGGAACTATACGGGTATAGAAATAAATGGAACTAATTTTCTCTTAGGGGTCATGAGTTGAGAGACAGATCGTGGTCGTGAAAATAGAAACGGGAGACACCAATTAAGGTGTTGTCTTAAAGTTCAAATCCACTATAGCTTTAAAGTTCACGTGGAATTGGATCAGTTCCAAATTTTGAAATACATGTGCATCCAAACATTGAATTATTCTAATTCTAGAATTTAAAATGAAATCCCTCCATCCAATATTTGTGAACATTCAATGCAGGCAAAAGCTCAATGATCGACAGACGATACACGACCATCACAGAGGAGGTCCTAAACGAACACCCCTCCATCGGCGCATACAACGCCCCTTCACTCAACATTCGCCAAGAACTCCTCGACATCATAATCCCGCAACTCGGCGCAGAAGCGGCGAGCAAAGCGATCGCCGACGGGCCGGCCTCTCTCTGACATCACCCACCTCGTGTTCTGCAACAGCAGCGGCGCTTCCATGCCCGGAGCCGACTACGAGCTCATCAAAATCCTCGGCCTCCCTCTCTCCACCAAACGCTTCATGCTCTACCAACAGGGCTGCTTTGGTGGTGGCAGTGTCCTTCGCCTCGCCAAGGACTTGGCCGAGAACAACCCCGGTGCTCGTGTGCTCGTCGTGTGTTCGGAGCCCATCACTAACGGGTTTCGTGGCCCATCGAAGGACCACTTGCAGAACTTAGTTACACAAGCTTTGTTTAGTGATGGTGCGGCTTCAGTCATCGTCGGTGCGAACCCGATGCCTGAAATCGAGCATCCCTTGTTCGAGATCGTCTGGACGTCGCAGAATATAATCGAAGGATCAGACGGTACTATAGGATTTCTGAAGAAATCTCTCTTAAGTTATTGATATATTATTGATGCAAATAACAGGAAATTTAGGATAAATGGTAAGAATGATCAAAATGCCCTTTCTTGAAATATAACCCCTAAAATTGAAAACGGATAGAGGGGTACACTGGTACAAAACGACACATTCCAGACGGAAAATTCCGTCTGGAATAACTGGAATTCCGTCTAGAAAAATTATTCCAGACGGAATTCCGTCTGGAATACGGGTCTACTTTGTTTCCGTCTAGAATACATAATTCTAGACGGAAATTCCGTTTGAAATGTATTCTAGACGGATTTTAGTAGACGGGAAAAAAAACCGTCGGTAATACATTTCAGACGGATTTTTCCGTCTACCATAACTATCCCAGACGAATTTTTCCGTCTGAGATATTCTATATCTCAGACGGAATATTCCGTCTGAAATATTACGTAATTAATTTTTAATAAACCGAGGGATATATACTTTCATCCTTTGTTGTCACATTGTCAAAGGTTTGCCATATTACTTTGGTAAGCTAAGTGAGATAACGTCAGGGGGGATAAGTGTGATAAACATAGTTCAGATGGATTACGTTAAATTTTATGGTAAGAGACTTGATATAAATCTCAATAATTGATGACGAGATTATCATTATTTAACACATATATCCTACTACATTCAACAGGTAAAATTGTAGGTAAACTGAGAGAATCCGGTCTGATGATCAGCTTGCAGCCTGAGATTCCACTACTCATCGCCGGAAGCATGGGAAAGATTGTGAAGGAAGCGATCGGAAACACAGGAGTCGACGCTGTGAATGACGTTTTCTGGATGGTGCATCCTGGCGGAAGAGCTATACTGGATGCGGTGGAGATGGTGCTGGGAGTGAAGAAGGAGAAGTTTGCGGCGACGAGGGAGGTGCTGAGGGAGTACGGGAATATGTCGAGCGCTTCGGTGTTGTTCGTGATGGAGACGATGAGGAGGAAGTCAGAGGAGAAGAAGATGGCCACTGCGGGTGAGGGATTGGAATGGGGTTTGCTTGTTGGATTTGGACCTGGGATTACAGTTGAAACTGTTGTACTTCGTTGCCCATAGATTAATTACTGAATTTGTCGTTGTTGAGTGTGCTTTGATCACGTAACAGTTGCATGCACGAAGCTAAAATAAATGTCGCAGATTGTGCTCCCTTTTGATTTTTATGGAATAAGGTTTTACTTTACATTTGTGTATTATGTTTGGTTGAAAGTTGAAATTAGTAGAAATTATGTTTGCGAAAAACTGCGGGGATCGTCTGAATCGAAATTGTATTCTCTTTTCTTTTCTCTTTGATGAGTTACATAGTGATGCCAATTTTAACCCATACCCATTTACCCACCCGGCCCACCCATTAATTGGCCCGCCAAAACCCACCCATTTAGTTAAATGGGTCTAATCGGGCGGGTCTATTTTAAATAATACTAAACGGGCGCTAAATGGGCGGTCTATACTCACCCGTTTGCCCGCCCGCCCTTATTCCCCAAACCGAAACCCTAAAACCCCAATCTCGTCCCCAATCCGCAACGGCGCAACTGAGCTCTCCTCCGCCTCAATCCCGACCCCAATCCCTCCTCCGACTCCTCCTTCGCCACCTCAACCGCCTCTCGAACCCGACGCCGCCTCCGTCACCAAGGTGAGCTCCGCTTCCTTCATTCTCTCCTCTCCACTCAATCCCTTATTTTAGGATTCTCCTCTGTCTAGATCTCTCGTTTCTTGTTCTTTACTTCTCTTTCTCAATAATTTTGATTATTTTCCATCGTATCTAGAGTTTTCCTTAAATCGGGCTTGATCTTGGTGAGTTAGGTTTCTTGAAGAAGAAGGTGGATCTTTGCTCGATCTCGGCCTCATTCCTTGAGGAGTTCCAGGCTGATGTTGTGCGCAGCGAAAATTTTGGCAGAGTTTCTGGTGCACAATAAGAGAGAAAGATCTCAATAAGAATTCTTGTATCTCAAAGGAAACAAGAATCTGAAGCCTAATATCCCATCAAAGTGGGATATTAGCTCTTCCTCTCGTCAGCTCTAGGACTGCGCGTCGAGGGATCCTAAAAACTATTACAATGGCCACAAACACAAATAAACTAATTTTACGTGGTTCGGCAAACTGCCTACGTCCACGGGGCAAGGAGGGGGAGATCTACTATTAGAGGGAGAATACAAATGGGGTTTACAATCACTCAATCTAAATCCTCTCAAACAATTATCTCTCTCAAAAGTACAAAAGCCTGTTTGCACGAAGCCAAAAAAAGCCGCTGCCTACGCGCTACTGAAATCCAATCAGCCGACTTTCTTCTGCTCGCTGGCACCCCAAAAAAAAAACTTTTTCGTACAGCGCAGTTCTCAAGCCCTTTGCACAGCCGCACAAATATTCTCTTCCCCCTGGTGCTTGCACAAACCCTAGGAAAGGCTGTAGCCAAATATTTATAACAATATGATATCGGGTGGGCCAGAAATCGCGAGCAAAAGAAACACCTCAACACCTCACGTGATGTGGCCCCCACGCATCCTAGCCTCCCAATTGGAAAGGAGACCGCATTCACACTTCGCGTGGCCCCCACACGTGCTTCAGCGTTTCTGCAATTCTCCCACGTCAACACCTGCGCTCATGGACTCCTGTGATCCCCCACGTGATCCATCAATCAACAATTCTCCACCTCGGTAAAGTTTTCCCAAAACTGAGCCGACACCAACCAAAGCAAATGTCTCACTTATTGCATCCAGTACGCCACGACAACGGACTCATGACAACGGACTCCATCCACAAGTCGAGACCCAAACGGGAGTGCGAACACTCGCCCAAACATCAGTGTCTACTCACCAAATCGATCTCACCCCATTAAATAATCCAACCCGGCTACATCGTAAAGACTGCTTACGTATCCTCTTGCCCAAGGAATCAAGCCGAACGTAGTTCACCCAAATGGCCGCGAACGACCTCAACCCAATAGAAGAGTTCGTAACCCTTCTCTAATATCATCAACTCTGCGGCTGATAGCACCTCCAATGGCCTCAAACACCTTCACCTGAGGTGAACCAATGACCATATCCAAGCTACATCTATCAGCTGCACTCGAATCAAAACCCAACTCATCATCTGCACATAAATCCAAATGACTCCCACGCTGTGTCACCTCAGCTGGAATCCTAACCAATACAGAATGATCTAGAGTAATCTTCACCCAATGTGGAGTAGCATCACACTCCACCCGCTGCGATACCTCTAAGGTCTGTCCAAAACTCTCCACCTACTGAGAGTCAATTAGCTTCCCCATCGAAGCCTCAACCAAAGTGACACTACCAGACCTATCTTCCAATGGAGTTTTACCTCCAATCACAGCAGTTGACAACTCTTTAATAGGATGACCCAAATATGTCGAAGCTTTAGTCCAGAACCTCTTCTGCAAACCATTGCTCGACCACAAACACCGATCCTCCTCCAGCAAGGCACGGTTCTCCAAATTTTCCACCCTATCTAGCTGCCCTAAGATTTCCTTTCCAACGAAGTGTCTCGAAATGCCGTGAGCTCGGCTCCAATACAGAAATAGGTCCATCTTGTACCTCCCACCAGAATGGAGTACCTTCACCTTTCTGTCTATTACACACTTCTTCAATCTGTTGGATACTACTAGGACTTTCTCCAAAGGGGATTTGGTTGCAACCCAAACACGCCTAGAACAGTCACCAACAAAGGAAACCAAACGCCTATTACCTCCCAATGATGTCCCCTTGGAAGGCCCCCAAACATCCACGTGAACTCCTCCAGAACGACCCTTAGCACGGTGAATAGAGGTGCCACACTTCACCTCGGTCTTCTTGCTCACATCAACATGTTCACTGGACTTCAAACTGCAGGTCTTTGCACCCTCTTTCAATCTATGCGAGGAATCAATACTGGAATGGCCAAGCCCCAAATGCCGCAGTCTAGTCGAATCAACAGAAGTCGTCAGCTCTCCACCTGCCACTATACCTCCAGTCAAGTAGTACAGGTTATTTCTCCTGACGCCCTTCATCAAAATACGAGAGTCTCTCACAATCTCGAGAACCATGTCCTCAACACGAACCTTCAGACCCTCTCCAACCAAAGCTCCAATCGAGATCAAGTTCTTTCTCAAAGAAGGAACATATCTCACATCATTTAACTCCCTAACAGTCCCGTCAAACATTTTGATGCGAATTCTTCATATCCCAAGGATCTGGCATGCACGGTTATCAGCCATGTACACCACACCACTATCCACCAGCTTCTCAAAACTCGAGAACCATTCCCTTCTAGAGCACACATGATAGGTCGCACCACTATCCAACATCCATTCAGATTCCTCCGAATAGCTATCTGTAGGACTGATAGAAAGCGAATAAATAGAAGAGTCAGAATTATTACCATCTGATACGATGTTTGCTTCTGATGATGGCTGCTTCCCTCTTTCTTCCAATGACCAGTCTCCTTACACCAAGCACACTGATCTTTTCTAATTATAGGATATCCTACTCTAAACTGTGACTTCAAATTCTTTCGGTTTGGACCCTTCCCTCTTGCGGCCAACGCCTCTGCTACCGACTCAGTCGAAGTCTCTTTATCCTTCTTCCGAAGCTGATAATTCACCAATGCAGCAGTGACCTCACTATACGAAAGAGATGTCTTCCCATTAATCAGAGTAAGGACGAAGGTTTCATATTCCTCGTTGGGCAAGGAACTCAACAACAGCAACGCCTTGTCCTCATCCTCAATTATGACATCCATATTCGCCAAATCCGCAAGAAGCTTCGTGTAGTGGTTCATGTGATCTCTAATGGAGGTTTCCTTCTTTAATTGGAAACGTTAAAGCCTCATCTTCAAATGCAAGCGATTTTCCACACTCTTGGTCAAATACTTGCTTTCGAGAATCTCCCAAATCTTCTTCGCAGAAGTCTCATTCATCACACCATATTTTAGATCTTGAGTCAAACAAGACCTAATCACACCACACGTCGTTCGATTCATCTTTTTCCAAACCTTCTCTTCAATCTCATCTGGCTTGCCATCTAACTCCAAGGTATCCTCCAAATTCTGCGCGTTCAGCGCATCCAAAACCTCGTATTTCCATAATCCAAAGTTGTTTGTGCCATTAAATTTCTCCACATCTATCTTCATAGAATGGATATTCAGACTTTGAATGGTCTTCGCGCCAGAAGCACCGCCCTCGACACCCGAAGCACCTTCTTTCCCCGACATCTTACGCACCAACGAACAAAGAATAGATCCAAAACTAAAAGATAGAGTCTTTACCAAAAGATCCCACCTTTATCACCAACGAAGCCCTAAACGAGCCTCCAAATTGATCTACTCCTCCAACCAAACCCTAGATCTGGAATCTGGGCTCTGATACCACTTGTTGTGCGCAGCGGAAATTTCGGCAGAGTTTCTGGTGCACAATAAGAGAGAAAGATCTCAATAAGAATTCTTATATCTCAAAGGAAATAAGAATCTGAAGCCTAATATCCCATCAAAGTGGGATATTAGCTCTTCCTCTCGTCAGCTCTAGGACTACGTGTCGAGGGATCCTAAAAACTATTATAATAGCCACAAACACAAATAAACTAATTTTACGTGGTTCGGCAAACTGCCTACGTCCACGGGGCAAGGAGGGGGAGATCTACTATTAGAGGGAGAATACAAATGGGGTTTACAATCACTCAATCTAAATCCTCTCAAACAATTATCTCCCTTAAAAGTACAAAAGCCTGTTTGCACGAAGCCAAAAAAAGCCGCTGCCTACGCGCTGCTGAAATCCAATCAGCCGACTTTCTTCTGCTCGCTGGCACCCAAAAAAAAAAACTTTTTCATACGCCGCAGTTCTCAAGCCCTTTGCACAGCCGCACAAATATTCTCTTCCCCCTGGTACTTGCACAAACCCTAGGAAAGGCTGCAGCCAAATATTTATAACAATATGATATCGGGTGGGCCAGAAATCGCGAGCAAAAGAAACACCTCAACACCTCACGTGATGTAGCCCCTACGCATCCTAGCCTCCCAATTGGAAACGAGACCGCATTCACACTTCGCGCGGCCCCCACACGTGCTTCAGTGTTTCTGCAATTCTCCCACGTCAACACCTGCGCTCATGGACTCCTGTGATCCCCCCACGTGATCCATCAATCAACAGCTGAGCTTCTCCACCTCCGATCTCAGCTTGACCTCA